GCAGATCTTGAAGAATTTATATCTGGCCCTAATCACGCCGACATACAAAAGGTAAAGAGCCATTCCCAAAGTAAAACACAAAAAAAAAACACAAAAGCTAAAATAATATAAGGACATTACCAAGATTTTATATGTTACTTCTAAGTACATTTATAAACGACAAATGAATTTATGATGATGTCTTATGGTATCATTATAATTCTGTGCTCTACCTTGTTCGCGTTTGTAAGTGCAATTCTTACAAATATATTATTCTTTTTGCAGATCGGCGACAGATGTTTCGACGATAAGATGTATGACGCCGCGAAGCTCCTATATAATAATGTATCGAACTTTGCGCGTTTAGCTATAACGTTGGTCCACCTGAAAGAGTTTCAAGGTGCTGTCGATAGCGCACGCAAAGCCAATTCGACACGCACCTGGAAGGAAGTTTGTTTTGCCTGTGTGGATAGCGGCGAATTTCGTTTGGCACAAATGTGCGGTCTGCACATAGTCGTACATGCGGACGAGCTTGAGGATTTGATCAATTATTATCAAGATCGCGGACATTTCGAAGAACTTATTAATCTTTTGGAAGCTGCTCTAGGACTTGAACGGGCTCACATGGGAATGTTTACCGAGCTAGCTATTCTTTATAGTAAATACAAGCCTCAACGAATGAGGGAACATTTGGAACTCTTCTGGTCGCGTGTCAATATACCGAAAGTGGGTTTTCATCTCAGATTAATATGAAAATCAATAGCAACTATTTATGTGCATTTCTATCAATGTGGATTGACTTTAATTGACTTGATTTAATTTACTCTTTATCTTTTTTTAAATTCTTAGAACTAATAAAGGTAAAAAGTTAAACCGAGATTAAAATTAATCTACATTGTTAGAAATGAACTGAAAATGATTGAATTGTAGGTTCTACGCGCAGCGGAACAAGCGCATTTGTGGGCCGAGTTAGTGTTCCTGTATGATAAGTACGAAGAATATGATAATGCGGTCCTAGCGATGATGCAACATCCTACCGAGGCTTGGCGAGAGGGTCATTTCAAAGACGTAATCACCAAAGTCGCAAATGTTGAGCTCTATTATAAGGCTATACATTTTTACGTGGAATATAAACCCCTTCTTCTGAATGATATATTGCTCGTGCTTGCTCCACGCATGGATCATACTAGATCAGTGGCATATTTCACGCGAACTGGCCATCTGCAATTGGTGAAGCCGTACTTGAGATCGGTTCAGGCCCTCAACAACAAAGCTATCAACGAAGCCTTGAACGGCTTGTTAATCGACGAAGAGGATTACCAAGGTCTCCGAACATCGATTGATGCGTTCGATAATTTTGATAATATCGCGTTGGCGATGCAACTTGAGAAACACGAATTGATCGAGTTCAGGAGAATCGCCGCATACCTGTACAAGGGAAATAATAGATGGAAGCAGTCCGTGGAGCTTTGCAAGAAGGATCGACTATTTAGGTAATGTTTAACAATGGCTGCACATTACTTAACATTAGAATCGTCAATAGTGCCATTTTGGCTTTGCTAAATTTTTTTTCTTTTTTGTATTAGATATATAGTACGGAATATTAAAAATATGTAAATATAATACAATAATAACAGATGTCAAAATAACTTTACTATCCAAAAACAAAGATAGGAAATTACCAAATTGGTACTTACAATAGTTCTAGCGGGATATCATTGATGTTTTTAGTATTAAATCAAAGATACATTTATGTACGTATGTTGGAATTTTATTAATTGTCAATAGAGACGCCATGGAATACGCGGCAGAATCCCGGAATGCAGAGGTCGCCGAAGAATTACTCGAGTGGTTCTTAGAAAGAGGTTCCAAGGACTGTTTTGCAGCATGCTTATTTCATTGTTACGATTTACTTCATCCGGACGTCATCTTGGAACTCGCATGGAGACATCGCATTTTACATTTCGCAATGCCGTATCTTATACAAGTCGCGCGGGAATATATCACTAAGGTATATATAAGATATTCGTAAAAGAAGCGTCTAGTTCTTCGTACCGCTAGCAGTAATTACAATGATAAATATATTTTATAGGTCGATAAATTAGAAGAGGCCGAAAGCCGACGCATCGAAGAAACTGATCATCAGGAACACAAACCTATGATCATGCGTGAGTGATCCTTTTAATATATTTTCGCGAGTATATACGTCCTATTAATGTGCAAAGCCGGTTAACTGTTTTCCACATTAATGATAATATTTCTTTCTGTTACAGCGGAACCTCAGCTAATGCTGACCGCAGGGCCAGGAATGATGGCACCTGGCTACGCGCCTCAAAACGTATACGGTACACCTGCACAAGTGTACGCGTCCACCGCAGCCTACCAAGGTTACGGTATGTGAAATACATTTAAGGAGACAGATCAACAAAGTCTACTTTTCTATAAAGTTTAGGTAGAATGAGATTGTTTTGTTAGCTTAATATCGTCAAAGCGAATACGAATGAATATCATTAGAAAAAAAAAAAACGATGAATTGCCACGTTTAGATCATGATAATAGTGTATCGAATAGCAAAATGCATTGAGAAAAGGCATTAATACGCTATCACACGCTACCTAAATGTGAATGTGTAATTTATAGGGAAGACGTCGAGCAAATTATATTTTATGATTTAAATATCTGTTCAACTCGGATTTTGCGTAAAAAAAATGTTAAAAACTATTCGAAAATTTGTAACGAAAAAAAAAAGATGTTTTTTTCTCTTTTTTTTTTAAATGCGATTTACCAAGATTTTTCCGTTGAATTATTGTTGCACAGTTAATGAAAAAGATATACGTATGTTGTATGAACAAAGTATAATTTCCCTGTCTTTTACCGACATATATATATATATATACATACATATATATATATATATATTTATATATATTTATGTGTATATGTGTATGTGTGTGTGTGCGTCTATGTGCCTTTCTTTTGGCTACTAACAGGAAGCAAGCTTTTTTGGACAATATCGTAATTCGGAAGCAAAATCAACTGTAGATCAACAATTACATCGTAATTTCTGTACAGATTACTCAGCGCTTGCTTTTCGGCGATTTCTTTCAATTTCTCACTTATGTAAACATGCTTTTTTGAAAGTCATCCCATCTTTCTTTATCTTTGAATAAACGTTGTACTAGATGTACATTCTCAAAACCTTCTAGCGTGTGGTGAATCACAGTGGAAAGTAAGAATCCCTCGCAAAATTGCAATGTAATAAGAGTATCTTTTAAGTCGGGATAGATCGCGTATCGTTATATCAGTATTGTAACGACGAGATCAAGATGGAGAAAAACTTGTAGACACCTCAGAATATGTTTGGCGTACCTATAATAACATATACATCGTTCTAGATCTACCTGTATGTACATTTGCTTGAACATAATACGAAGACGTTCGCCACAAGTTAACTTGATTTGCGTAAACAAAACGAATCGTAAAATAAATTATAGGTACTGAAATTGAACGACAAGATCTTATTGTCTCACTAATGTACTACAATGCATAGAGTAGTCCGCCTGAGTTTTTTTGTCCAATCTGCATTAATCGTATGTTTAGTCTTTCATTGTTCATTGCATAAAAAGATTAATTACAGACAGATATTAAATTATCTTCAATTCTTTGAATTAATTGTTCGAGTTAAAGGAATTAAAGATAATTTCATAACAAAGTCCAGCACGCGATCGTCCACTGTCACACATTGTTTCATATATACCGTACTTTGGTAATATTTTCTACTCGTTTCACACATAGGCGTAATAGGCATTACCTCTATGGTTTCACATCTAATGTGTGTGCATAATATCTTATTCGAAGTTATTGATCGTTATAATCATTATAAAACTTGTTATAATCTATGCCTAAATTATGCAGTTTTAAGATAAATTAGATCACGATATTTCTAGAAAATAACAAAGCCATATTTTGTTGACATTTGTGTTTCTCTTTTTCTTTTAAAATCTTTATGTCGTATATATAAAGTGTTACATCAAGATCAATATGTATAAAATGCGATAGGCAACTGAGAAAAAATTAATTTTGTAGTACGTCTTACCGTTAACATTCCTAAGAAAGTGTAAACTATCAATCTGCGTAAATTTGTATCAGTTATTAGTGATATATCTCATTTCTTTTTCTCAACGGATTATAATATGTAGTCTTTTTATTTTAAAATGCGCGGAGAGCGAAAGTTTATACCGGCGAAAAGGTTACGTTAATATTATCCCCAAGTAAAAGAAATTTGTATTATGTAATAATAAAGGAAAGAACGCGCTCATTGTTTTCCTCGTCTTCTCTATCGCGCGGCATTTTGGTTTTTTTTTTGTACTCCACAGTTGATCTTGCAGTGATTTAGCTGTATATATTACATATTAAAACTGTTATGTCGAAGAAGGAGAAGGTCAGTAACATGCCCTGATACTATGTTTTACTTTTATCTAAACTTTAGCCAAATGAAATTGTAGAGATTAATTAAACAAATATAGTTGTTGTATTAATTGAAAATAATTATCATTGTATCAGTGTCATGTTTGACCATTGCGGTTTTAATGGAAAAAACATGAGTGAACACACTTCCAAAAGAAAAAATACATTATTGTTCAATAGTTATGCACACCTTTCCATATAAACACACGAGACACAAAGAGATTTACACGCGTATACATTATATATAAATATAACGCTATATTATATATACGACTATATATATAAATACTGTACCATGTAAGTAGTAAATATACATTACCAATCCTGTAATTGTAATATCCTATGATAATAATCTGCAAAGAAATGCTGAAAGATATGAAGAAATAAAATAATTCTAACATCTAGATGAAATTAAAGTAATTTCCACAAAAGGATCACCATATATAGTATAATCACGAACAATTATATTATCCGTATACTGATTTATTTTGTCACATTTTTTAATTTTCTGTCACAACGTAACTTTTTTTATCAAGATTTAACATTTATGTATCTTTATAGAAGGTACTATCAAATTATCAATATATTAAATATTTATCACAGCATTACAATTGAACTATTCTTAAACTTCTTAACTGCTCGTTCTGCAGGCCTTATAGAAAGCTCTCTTCCAAATACTTTTAGTGTTACTCCATCATCTAAGTGAACATTAATCTTAACTACATCTTTCGGTATCGCTGTAAACAGTTTAATAAAAATCATTAGCAATAAAAAATATATATATATATACATAGTATTTGGCAATAGATGGGAGAAAATTTAATGGCAGGCTTCTAAATGATAAAATCAGAAATCGAGAGTAACAAAAGACTTCATTTTTTAATTATAAGTGTAAAGTATTTTTTACGTAAATATTTAGACATTTATAATTAACAAAATCACAACCGAAATTTTATTATTCTTGATTTTGTAATTCGGTTTGACATTGTAATGAATGTTTACATATTCATGAAAAAATAGTACTTGTGAATATTTAAAAATTTATAATTACAAACGAAGCTTTGAGAGTAATTTTGTTGTTTTTTATTTCCTTATTTTATCATCCAGAATCGCTCTTAAATTTTCTCCCACTAGTATGTTGTCCAACACTCCATAATTTCCAAGGAATTTATTGTACTCATGTATATACATATAATGATAAAAACAGCAAGTGCATAATATACTTTGTAACAGATACGGCATGTTTATGCGGGGAAAAAATCGACAAATGTACGTTTATTGCTTACTTCGAATAATATTGTCCATTCCACAGACCCTAAAAGTATTCTTTGTGTCTTGTATGACGATTCCCGTAACTCCTACCAGACTGGGGCATTTGGATCTATCGATCGAGATTTTAGCACCATGAAAATCAGCTTTTATCAATTGCAGGTTTACATTCTCCCAATTTCGAGGATTTTCCGATATATCGGCAAACGACTCGAGACCGAGCATCTCTCTCATATACTGTAGCCATAATTGATTTAAAGGCAAAACATCGGAGTACTTCATTTGATTTCTATTACCGATCCTACCTAAACCAAAACGCAGCCTTTTCCTGGCAGAGAAGCATTTGCCTTTCTTCACTTTCTCTTTGTGCTTTGGTTTAATTTTGTTAAATATAAAGGTCTAAAAATTTTCGAAAAGTAAGATCTTAGTCAATCAGTAATTATACCATTATATCCATGACTCTCATTTATGTTATTATATATGATATAGGTCTGTGAACTGGTGGTACAATAAAAAAAGAAATGATTCTATATAAAAAAATAAGTCGAAAATAAAGAATAAATTTTTTTCATATAAAGCTTTGTTTTTGAGAAAATTTATTTTAAATATTCACTAGATATGAATTAATTGATAAACTAAAGCATTGGGACATGTTAGAAAGCATTCATAGAAATTTACTTCAAAGGACAGAACTGTGTATTCAACAGAATGTGCAACACTTTTAATAATTTACAGTGATAAAATTTATCGTGAATGTTCTTTTTATTGTGTATTCTCAATTATTCGATGTAATTAATTTAAACATAAGAGATTAGTCTACAGCTCTAAGATCAAGATATCAAGATATAGTTAAGTAAGAATTTTAGTATTCATCTATATATAAAATCTATTTTTTCGGAAACAAATCTTACGTGAAAGAATTATACTCTACATTTTCTATTTATTTTGCTATGTATAGAATCATCCTCTTTCTGATTGTATCACCAATTGATAAACATTTTAGTTTATTATATTACAAGATGTACATATTATATACCTTTCGCAATTCATCTGAAATAGATTTTCGGTCGGACGGTGGCAACAAGTTTTGCAAAAAGTCAATGACATATTGCTGAGTGTTTTCACAGATCTTGATATGACTGGTCTTACTTTTGGGAAGTGGCGTGCACAATTCTTGAAAAGAATCGCGCGTTATTAATGTAAGAACATAAGAAAAATTTACAAATTTATATTATATATTAAACTTTACTCGCATAATCCGACATGATTCTGCAGCGTTGCTTTCTAAATTGATCTTTCGAATTGTTAGACCACAATTAAAATTTTCAATTATTTTCTCCACGTTGGAATATTGTTACAATGCTTCTTCATGATTTTCTGTAACATAGAAAAATGTACTTAAACTATAATATTAATTTAAAATTAATATTTTGATTGATATTAACAAATTATAATGCTAAGAATTGATATTAACAAATTATATATAATGCTGAGAATACCAAACAAACTTTTACAGCACCACGGCACTTTATTTCTACTATAAGTTCGCAACAAAATGGAAATGGACAAGAAGCATTATGCGTCATATTGCTATTACAACCGACCAATCATGCCCATAATCATGCCCCTTCATTTTTAATTAACCAATAAAAATGTGGCGTTAACCAGAAAATGATTTAAGCGCCATCTACTAGTTTGTTGTGTTTGCGAATAGGGAAGAAGTGTAATCGAACCGGAAGCACACAGTGCCGGAAGTTACATATTGAGATTTACCGACTACTGACTACCCGGCTTCCGGTCCGTAGGCGTTCTTCTTCTCTTCGTTTCGTATAGTTAAGCGTGTGCTTGTCGATAATCATTGTTCAAAGGACTAAAATATAAATTTAGAGAGAAGGATTGAAGACGTTTGCATACAGAGATAATGGCAGCGACGATGAGATGTCTTATGAGGTTCAATGTGGGACTGGCAAATCATACTTTTCTGAAACATAGCTTCCTCAATTGTACGTAATTCGACTTAACCTCACATTAATCTTTCTCGCGGTGATTTTAGTATGACTCACGTTTCACGTTGTTAATATGTACATGTTACTGCACGCAATTATAACTTTTAGTTGATTACGTTGATCTCGGAAAATATATTCGAATGCGTATTATATAGAATAATATTTAACAAGATGAGCGTAATTAAAATATTTTTCATAAGTAATTTTTTTACATGTTTAATACAATAGTTTGATGTTATATTTACATAGCTATTAATGTTATATTCACTTTACAGCTTGCAGATTCTTATATTCGGAGAAGAGCCTGGGTCTGCAAGGCTATGAAAATGCACGATTGAACTTTCGCAATCAGTTTTTAAATGTGGAAAATACATTTCGCAACAAAATGGAAGAAGTATGCAATACAGACTCGAGTATGATCTTCACAGAAGATCTAAAGTCTATGTTGCATTTAGCTCAGAAAACCTCCGAAGACATTGAGTTACTTATTAAAATGTTGACAAAATTTAACAATCAAACCAAGGAGATGAGATTTGGTACTTTTATCTTTGGTCCTGTAGTGATGCGTACCCTGTATTACTTAGACGAACCAGATCTTGCGTTCACTGCTTTCAAGGATCCTAAGTTTGAGAATTTCTTTGAGCAATTAGTCAGTTACCAAATTCTTTTAACTCTGTTATATAAGCATAAAAAGTACACAGAAATGAGAGAGATATATGATATGATTAAGAACAAAGACCTACCAGATGGATATCCTAAGAATTCTTTGATTTTGGTTATGGCTGCATGTTATAAGGAGGTAACATTTATACAAGAGTGATTAAATTTTCGTGAGTTCGTTCTTTACATAATTATTCTTAATACTTTTAGAATACACCGGAGGCATTACAATATGGTTTGAACATCTGGAAAGATTTAGATGACAAAGGATACAGGATCATGCGTAGAGCTACTACATTTTTATCAGCTTTAGCCATTAATCAGAATTCGCCTCATATAGCTATAGAAATCTTAAGTACTATAAAAGAGGTCCGATATATTCACATAAGAAATCTGAAAGTTTTAGCCTACACAAATTTGAAGAGATTTACTGAGATAGTGCCTATATTTAGGGCATCATTAGAACGTGATAGATCCTATGCACCAAAAGAAAATTATTGTAAAGATGTGGTATGTATTCTGTTTATACAGTTCTTGTTTAGCAATTATGTTTATGTAATATACATGCACGTTTTATTTTTATTATATCTACAGATTGAAAAATTGGAAGCGACTATGGCACAGGAGAATATTCCTGATGACTTTGAACTTTACAAGTTGATTAGTTTATTGAAAACGGAAGAGTTCATTTTATCTAGTGTAAGTTGATACTCTGACAATCCATTCCTGTACTAATCATTGATTATCAATTTATCACACCAGTTATATGCTGGAAATATATTTTATATTTTATTTCTTATATTTCTGTAAACAATTTTTATGTGCATGTAAAATTAGCTTAATAAATTAAGTATCATCAAATCTATTAGAATAAAAGATTAAATGAATCATATTTTTACAGACTTTGGACGATCAAATCTGCACGGAAATAGAAATTGATAGATCGAGATTTGACAAAAGGAGACTTGACACTCGACAATCAAGTTTCTCACAGCGATCACAACCGTTTGTGCGTAATAATAGTAGACCAGTGTTGCGGGATCTTTTGTAAGTATGTTTATGGAGACATTTCCATACAGGTGTAGAATATGTCTCATATAACCCGCTAATTTATGAGACAGATTTCAAATTAAACCAATGATAATAAATAAATATGATTTGTTTCAATTAATAATGGACGAAATTACATTTGTTTTTATTAAATAATAATTAACACCTTCATCAATGCACCTTTCTATAAATTGATGCCTTTTTTTACACAAAATTCAATAAAAGATGAACTACTCCAGTTAATTTAGATTTATTATACAGTTTTTTTTTACAAGATAATAGAAAAAATACACTTTTTTTTTTATAATAAATCGTAATAAAATAATTTATTTAAACTGCGAGGCCTTGTTAACTTGGAGATGACTTAGTTCTTTCTCATTGCAAAGTAACCATTGTGACATATTTTCAGAAGCGTAAAATTGTGATTTTATTATTGATATTAGTGACAGTATCCACTGACTATTAATCGGAGTACAGTCCTTATCCTTACTTCTATAAATAAAATAATTATATATACGACAACTTAGCAGTCGAAAAAAAAAACAGACAAGATTAATATATCATTCTATTGTATAATACCAACCTGGATAAAAGAGCTGCAACGAAATTAGCCCAGCTCTCAATGTTACTGGGATATGTAAATATATTTTTCTGAGCTTGTCTGAGACCCTTTTTTGTACCAAAGTGACTGTATGCCGATGCGCAAGCAACATGTACAATATCAGCATTGGTCGTATTTCTGCTTAGTGTCAACGCCGTTAGAGCACATTTATGAAAGACATCCAAATTTTTGTCCAATAGTAAAACTCGAACAAGACGCATCCAATATCTAACGTCGTCTATAATATCATACATTCATTATAAAGGATAAACTTGCAAGCTCATCATTTGATAATACATGATAACATGAATTACTTACTAGGGTGTTTGAAAATAGCTTTAGTAAGTATTCGAATAGCTTGGATGAGATTTCCCTGAACAACTTGATAATATGCTGACAGTGTGACAACATGATAACCATACTTGTGATGATTTTCGTATGATTTCAATTCGTTCAATACCAAAGAAGTCAAATTTACATCGTCATGCAAAATTCCTAATGCAGCAGTCGCTAAGAGACTAGTTACAGTAGGCGGTTCTATTTGTATACATTGAAATAGTAAAGTTTTAACAGCATCTGCTCCTTGAAATATGTAAGCAATCGCAGCCATCGCACACAAGACATTAGCTTTATCCGCACCAGTGTCTGCTAGCCAATGTAAAGTTGCTTCATATGTGTTGTACGAATCTTCATATTGTTTGGCTAAATATATATGACATTTTTATTTTCATCAAAGTTTATACTTCAGTCTTATAGGAAGTTAAACATAAAATGAATAATCCATTTCGAGAATTTATATTTTCATAGATAAAGATAAAAACTAAGATTTCCATACCTTTGAACAAAGATAATGCTAGATGACACTGAGAATTGAAATTTGCACATTTCACTTGTTTACATAATGCTACCGCTTTTTCGTGTTTTCCGATTTGAATCAGGATGCGTGCTAAGTTTATGGATATCATATTCCTTTCTTCATCTTCACTCAGTTTTAAAGCTGTAGAAAATTGTTTAGCCGCCGTATTGTACAATCTTAGTCGTTCCAATAATAAACCATGTGTATTTAGAGCATAAACATCGTATGGCTCGCGTTCTGAAAAAAGACCAAAATTACCTTAAAGTAGAAAGAGAGTATCACGTTAAACTGACAACGTTATTTGCTAACCTGTGTACCAAGTAAGAATGTCGGCTGCTGCAGGTATCGCATGCATGTTTTCGATAACATAAACTAATAGTGGATCTTCCTTCATTGTGGAATTCAGGAGAGTAGTAAGTACCCAGTGAGCATAGCCTAAAGCTGCTTGATTATGATAACCCAATTGTGTCGAATGTCGAAACAGATCCATCGCTTCTTTTCTCAGAGTCTTCTCCGCGATTAATCCCTGTCCGACCCAACTGTTCACATAACTAGGATCCGCACGTTGTGATCGAGAAAACGCTTCATTTGCTTTGTAGATATCTCCTAGATATATCAAAAGAATTGTTATATAATTCTAATAAAAATTTAAAAGATATTTATCTTTAGGTACCTAGATGTAAGTATAATGCTCCCAGATTACTCCAAGCTATTGCATTATTCGATTCTCTATCGATCGCCATGATGAAACAATGTTGAGCCAAGGCATAATTTTTTACATATATCGACATACAAATAACACCAAGAATATTCCAATGTAGCCACGATTGCGGGCAGAGTTTAACGGCATGTTTTGCAGTTGCATAGCACTTAGCCGCCACATCATTCTTATTGATTGTAGAAGCACGATTTAGTTGCATCATATAACAGCACGTTAAATCATGCCATAACAATGCAGAATTTTGCATGGATAGTGCCCGACAAAAACATCTGAAAATAAAAGTTTATTGATAAAGTTAAGTTTTGAATCGTAAAGTAATACAAAATACTAATGAAGTCTTACGATAATATTCGTAAAAATTTAATATATCGTGCAAACTTTTGTATATTAATAATTGCGTTTAACAGTTTAAATAATAACGATATTAATCTCGTTTTTTAATATAGTCATTATGAAAAAATATATTTAAGAATCATTTCTTTTTACCTTATTGATAACATCAATATCTCGTCTCCTTTAATATTCACATATTTTTCAATATTGTCACACTTCATTAAAACAGATTTAATCCTTAAATAGCAATATTTTTCTGGCAGAATGATTATTCTATAACACACGTCGCCAAGCAATTTCCAATTGCAAAGTAGATCACTGCGTATTATAATAGCGTCTATCAAATTATCCGCTGCTTGTTGTAGATTTTCCCTTGCCCGACATAAAAATTGTTTCTCGATATTTTGCCTTGCTAAACCTAAACACGCCTGTGCTAGACCTTTTAATGCAAGAATATGCTGTTTATCGTTCTGTAATATACTCTCGAAATCTTCTTTGGCTTCTTTATGTTGACCAATGAGCTATAGAAAAAATTTTGTATCAATTATATTATGATATGATTTATGAATTTTACTTACCAGTTTAATATTCGCGAGTTGTATCATAGGATACAAAGATTCTGGGCTCAGCTGTAGTGCTCGTTGATACGACTTTAGTGCCGATGCATGAGCGCCGCGTACCAAATATGCATCTGCCAGAGATTCCCAACAATGACTGTACAAAGTATACACTTATGATAAGAAATATCATAATGTTCTGTAACACAATAAAATAATAGCGAGCTATGTTATACTTGTCATTAGGATCAGCTCTGATCACGTGCTGTAATGCTGTGATAGCTTGTCCCGCATCACCTTGATCCAAGTAATGCAAGCCTAATTGGAGCCAAGCCCATCTTGGCCCAGTACCTTGCATAGTTACCCTTTGTAATAATTGTATATTGGCATCCTAAACAATATATAATATTAGGGTTGGTCAGAATAGTTGTCACATATCACATATACAAATTTGTTTTAAATAGAAAAATATGATGCTCACAGTGTTCTTGAGAAGACGATAAGCTGTACTTAATCCGA